GAATAGAATAAATAGTATTCTTAGAGGAGATTTTCCTTTTCCCTCCTGTAGGCATAAATTAGTAGGTCTTCAACTCTGTCTGCTAGATGGGTGATATATGCCTGCTAACTGCAAAAATCATTCTAAACTAACCTGAGATACACTTCATACATCTCTTGAAACAAGTACTCAACTTGAAGGTGAAATATGGCAGCTGTTTACCAATGGATGCCAGTTCAGAATGGTAGCAGTATACCAGCAGAATACCCCACTAAGTAGGTATTGGAAGGGTGGTTATTCTTTTGGCAGAAAAGCAGAAGTGGAAATTTAGCCAGGACAGTGAGAGTAGCAAAATTGCATTTCCAAAGTTGTTATGATCCAAGTAATTTTAAATGGTAAATCTCCCTGTATTTTTGTGGGCAAGCACTTATTGGAGAGATAGAAGTTCATTGCTTGGTGGTTTAATACTGTCACTTCACTCCACATTGATTGAAAGCTATTTCTACCTTTTCCATCCAAAGACTGACTTTTCAGACTCTGCTCTACCTTCTGTAGGCCAGTGAGTTCATGTACATGACAGTAAAGCTGCAAGAAGGAAATACTGCTTTGGATGTACTTTTGGAATAGTAAAATACTCTTACAGACTTCTGAAACTGTAAAAGAAAGGAGGTAGTAACTGGTGGAAAATAAGACTATGAAAGACCTCCACATTTATTCAGGTCAGATTAAATTTATTTTTTATTGCATTTAGTTAATTGTTTAACATTATTATGCCATTTTTGTTATTATAACCTCTGAAGTGAACTGTATATATATATAAGCACTACTTGTGGTCCATTCCAGTAATATTTTAATCAGAGGTTCTTGAAACAGCAATTATTATCTTTAAGAGGAGATCATTGCAGAAATCTTGATTGAATTAAAATCTGGAAACTGTAATGGGAAGTGTAATGGAGAATGTTAACCCTGTAGGATGCTTGAAGTCCTTTTCTTGCTGTTCTATTGCATTTGAACAGATAAATACATTATACTTCCTCTGGATAGAGAGAGAACTGTTGACTGTATCACATATTTGATAGTCTAGCTGTGGTGAAGAGAAAGCTGCTAGCAGTCATGAAATCACTTAAAAGTGTGATGCTTCAGGAAGGTGGTCCTGCAACAATAACGGATCCGAATCTCACAACAGACTCTCATGGTTCTTCTCATGTAATTTCCTTCAAAACTTAGCCTTGATCAGATTTTTTTAGCTCTCACTTCATGTTTCAGTGGAAAGGCATTTATATTATAAGTTTTGTCAACAAATGGATAACATATTTCCTCAGGAGTAGTAAGCTGGAGTGTGGGGTAGACCTGCTTTATTGCACTCACAAAGATTTTTTATCTGAAGGAGAAGCCATGTGGGCATTCTATTAACTTCTGCAGGGACAACCACCTTGTCTGTGTTCCGGACAATGGAAAGAATTTTGGCTTCCCTGGTTGAGGCACTTAGTGGACAAAGGCAGAGTATTACATCTGGTTTTGTGAAACCACCTGCTGAATTTTAACTGGGACTCACACCAACTGCTGGATGGTATGGTGAAGGGAAAGGTGTTCCCCCATTTCCTGATCATGTGGGTACCCAGATGGAGTTTGCTTTGCAGCCAGAAGTAACTGTCATTCCTGCTAGGATGTTCTGCAGAAAAAGCCCTGATGATGATTCCCATGGCAGAAGCTAAGCTCTGCAATATTCAGAGAGGCCCTTTCCAAGTAGGCTGGAGAAGGCTAACAGAGGGACTTTGCCCTTCTGGGGAGTTGGTCTTGCTTGGGTGAAGTTCAGGGGAGCTACAAAGCAGAGTGTGGCTTATAGGGTAGCTGAAAGTCCAACTAAATTTGCCATAAATGTAGAGGGAGGTTATGGGAATATTGGATAGACAGCCACATCCATGTAGCTTAGCAAAGCCTGCGTTGTGTGTTTGGGCACTCACAGTTGTGTCACAGCTGTTCTAAGAACTCTGTGCTGTGACTAGGGCTGTTTCTCTCAATTGTTTTCATTCAGTTTTCTACCTTTGTCTGCAGTAAGCCCCTGATGGTGGTACCTGGACTGGGGTGGCCCAAGACAGAGCTGCCTGCACCATCATCTCTGGCTGAAGGCTTGGCATGAGCCTTGACACAAGGGGCTTTGAAACGCCTGTGGAACATACATAGTGTTAACATGGGTGATGTATAACTCCCTCAGGATTCATAAGTAGTACTGACATATTTCTTACAGTCTGAATTTTGTCATGGTCATAATACAAGGTGGGAGGCTTGAATAAACACTTTTATTAAACTGGTAGGTCATATGGCAGCAACAGCCATATTAGGAACTTGCTACAACTTCTTTTTATTGAGCAGTTTCCATAAAAATCAAGATGTCTGTCTGGTATTTTTAGTATCAGATACAATCTCGCTGTAAACAGTAATTTGCTTTTATTCAGCACTGACTTACTTCCTTCACCCACTGTAGTCACTAGAAGGCTGGCAACTTTAAAACAAAGCAAAAATTCTAAACTGTCATTGAAATGCACTATAAATCTTCAGAAAGATAACATGGAGGCTGTGTGTTCAGCCTTTTCACAGAATTTTTTAAAATAGAGTGTTGGCTTCAAACAAAATTTATATTCTTTGAGGTAGTGCTGTATTTTGTTGAATTCACTAAACACTGTAATAAATCCCATGTAACAGGACAGCAAAGAACGGTGCATTGTAAAACATATATTCAGACTGATCCTAAGCAAGCAAATCTGCTTGGCTCTTTTTTACTTTATTACTAGTTTTTATTTTTATAAATCCATGTGCTTGGAAGCAATTTGATTTGTGTCCATTATTTCAGAATTTACTTCTTAACATCACTGAAATCCAAAGAGGAAGGAACAAAAAATGCATTTTAAAACAAATTGTGAAGTAAGATGAAGAATCAGTTGAAACAATTAAGCCACTTAAATTAAATTCTGGTATTGAATTTTTTTTCTTTTCAGAACATATTCTTTTAATTATATCATCTTGGAAAAGTCTTTCATGCATAACAAGGTTTAAGTTTTTGTGAGTGCTTCAAGATTTGTGGTGTAACTGTGACTTTTAAATTTCAAAAGGGTTTTTATTTTCCTCCAATAGCAGATTTTTGTAATAGTCAATAGAACTAAAACAACAATAAAAAATTAAACATATTAGTTGATATTCAATTTTTGAAAACAGCAATTAAAAAAAAAAAATTCTTAAAAGGTTAAGACCCTGCAAATTTTTAGGTGTCATTCAAGAATATACTCTATTGAAGAAAAAAAACCAAAAAACAAAAAACCAACAGCCTTATAGGAAAGTATTTGTATTGCAGATATTGAAAACTTTAAGATATTAATATTTATTGTATTTCCTTCACGAAATAAGATTAATCTTTCTCCTTTGGGAATATGGCCATTATTGACACAAGCAGGTCAGGAACTATTTCTACTTTTGTGTGTGTGTAAAACATAGCACCTGAAATTGCTAGGAGTTAAAATAGTAAATTAGCAAGTTTAGAGAGTTAAGTATTTTCCAATAGAAGTAAATGACAGAAGTTGTATATTTTTTAACATGAAAGACCCAAGGAAAATGTCTTCTGGAATTCACAAAATAAGTTGACCGCTTTTCAGCAACATAAATGATCACAAAAGGCTGCTAAATGAAATGTAATCATGTCATGAGCATTTGAAATAGTTAAAGAAAAGGTCAATTTTCCTCTTTATACCTGATGCCACAAAAGAATATCTGCTTGTCCAGGGAGAGAGCTGTGAAGAAATCGGCCAAAAGTTACAGAGAGAAGAAAACTTTTTGCCTCCACAATACACATGTTGAAGGGCTTCAGATATGCTATCAGGAAGCTCATTAACCTAATCCCAGAATATAATTCCAAGTAAGCACTTATGTTTGTGATAAACACTGGAAAAGCTCAGTACAGGGAAATGCAGAGGAAGGGTGTATTTGTATGCTATATATCCAGTGCTGGTATTAGCTCTTTGGCAGTGATGCAGACATAATGATGCTGTTTTTCTTCTGAATAAATGTGACAAAACTTTCTCTGAAGTCATAGAATCAAATAACTTAGGATGGTTTGGTTTGGACTTCTGGGTTGCCAGAACCACATATAAGGAAAGGGCCACTCAGGCTACTTGGTACTGAACACCAGATATGCATCTTGCAAGTACTACTGATTGGTGCCTGGGGAACCTGTGAATGCCATTGGGACTTCAGCTCCTTAGTGACAGAGTTCTTTTAAAATGATGACTTAAGTTCCCAGTCACTGAATTGTCCTTGAAAATATTTTCTTAGAGACTTGTTGAAAAAAATATGGCACCCACTGTTACTCATGGCTACCCTTGGCTGCAAGTGTTTAGATGATTGGATCTTGTGTTAACTGGTGTTTCTGAGACTAACATTCTTAGGGAAATTTTTTTGTTTAAGTATGTTTTTTGAACATAAAAATCCTCTGTTCTTATGGGCAAACGTACATCTCAGAGGCCCATCTTGGGATGGTGACAAGATAAATTGCTGTGTTATGAGTGGAGAAAATCTCAAGGATGCTGAACCATTGAATCTTTATGCTGTATTCTTGAAAAAAGAACATTTGTACCCTGTTGCATATTTCACTAGCTCTTAAATGATATCGATTACACTATATAGTGTCATTTGTATGGGTTAGTTTTGTCTGCTCTATATATTTGCTTCTGACATTTTTGGGGGTTTTCCTAAACAAACAGACCACTTAGTGTAACTCAGGAGTCATACAACTTGCTACTGAGTTCAACACAATTCTCTTTCTCTCAAACAACTCATAATTTCACAAAGAAAACTAGGAAGTAGAATCTCAAGTTATATTCACAAATTTTTTTTCCAGCTTTATCTTAAGTAGTGCTACTATTAATGAATATTAGCTGGACCATGATTCAAATTATTGTATACATGTTTAATTTATGTTTTTTTTTTTTTCCTCTCTCTTTCCCTTTTTGTCTCTTTCCCCTTTTCAACAGTCCTGGTACCTGGGCTAGCTTGGTTCCTTTCCAAGTATCAAATAGGACACCGATCCTGCCGACAAATGTCCCAAATTATGGTTTGAACATAATTGGAGAACCCTTCCTTCAAGCAGAAACAAGCAACTGAGGGAAAAAAAACTAAAAGCAAAATTAAAAAAAAAAAGAAAAAAGGAAAAAAGAAAAGGAAGAGAAGACAGTATAAGAAAAGAATCAGAAGAAAGAAGAACAAAATTAGACCAGCAATTGCAGCTCTTACAATCACTAATTCTTGTATGGTTGAAACTGAAATGATATACAAAGGGTCGATGATATTTCACTGATGAGTAGAATGCAGCTCCTCCTAAGTAGCCTTTGTTATATGAAGTCCACTGGGAAATAGATGTTCTGTCTCTGACAATATATTTTAACTGACTTTCTAGATGCCTTAATATTTGCATGATAAGCTAGTTGGTTTAGTATTCTTGTTGTTTACGCATGAGATCACTATTCCTGGTTATCTCACAAAACAAAGGCTAGGCAGTGACAGCAGAGCTGCAGGAGGACATGGGCCGTGAGCCAGCCATTTTCTCAATAGTCTGATTTCTAAATGTTTTAAAAATAAGCTCTGTAGCCTTTAGTTATCAGTATGGATTTATTAAACTTTGGCCCTTAATTCAGCCTTTTTCTAGTGTGTTATGCAGTTTGAAATTTTCAATCAGTATGAACACACAGGCTCTATGGAAGAAATGCCTCTACGCAGGTAAAAGTGTTATCTTCTCATGCAACAGTAAAAAAAGAAAAGAAAAAAAAGACATTCTTTCCCCAGTAAAGAAACACTTACAGAGGCAAGTGCAATTTAAAAATCATATCTAAGAGGTCATCACTATAAGTCCTTCAGCCCTTGGACTCTAAATTGAGGGGATTAAAAATAAAAATAAAAAAATACTTTGAACAAACTTATTTTTCCCCTCAGTTTTTGAGGGCATTAAAAGGCATTAAGTCAAGACAAATCATGTCCTTGAGAATAAGAAATCAATGGAAACACAGCACTTATGTTGGTTTAGCTGCTGCCTCCACAGAGGGGTAGGATTTATTTATTTAAAGTTACTTGTTGCATCAAGAACCCATAGGGTTTACATGTTTCTGTAAAATCTACATCATAGAGACAAAGACATAGGCAAATCCATGTCACAAGGGCAAAGCTTACCGTTTACAAACTGGTAATACCAGGATGGGGATATGTTGTATTTAAATAATGCACTCTTAATGTAAGTCTAATTACAGGGTGCTGTAAACTTGCATGGTGCTTTCAGAAGTTAGCCTTGTTCAACAATTTTCACATATCGACAGAAATATAATGTGCATGGGCAGACATTTTGCCTCTATGTCTCTTTAAAAATTTAAAATACTCTTTCCAGTAATCCTAATTTGCACGAAGATATAATGTCCACATTACGTGCCTTGCCTTGAAATCTAAAAAATGGAAAAAAAGAAAAAAAGAAAAAAAAACTACAAAAAAATTGACATCACTACACTTGTTTTGCTGCATTTATTATAATTTTAAATCTTTACCATTTTTATGACAAAATATTTTGTACTCCAGATGCGAAAAATGTGTGACATCATGGATTTTTTAGACAGTTATACATTTATCTCACATTTATAGAGCATATCATGGCTGTGTATAGTTGCCGCTTAAGAATTGTAATCGACCAGCAATATTTTCAGTATTTTGGTGTTTTTTCTATTAACCTTTCATGTTTTTCATCTTCCAATTAATATTGGGGGGAGGGGATACAAATTTATATGAATTATGCAATACCAAGTTTTGCCTATGTAGGTAGTGCTTTTAGCTGTATTGGTTATTATAGGTAAGTACACAGATTTTAAAAAAAATAATGTATGCTTTTTTTGTTTGTTTTAATTGACCAAAGTGGGTACTGCTATTTTTGCAGTGTGATGAGGTCCTTTTCTGTACTGAGAGGTGGACAGGGGATTTTTTTTTATACATACATATATATATATTCTGGGGTGGGGGGGGAGGATTTTTAACACTTTACAGTGTAGCTGTGAAGCAGTGCACCCTTAGCCAGGCAAGGGCTGCAAAGCAACTGTTCTGCCTACTGTGACAAACTTTCAAACAGGTTCCCTCTTTTTAACTTCCCACCTGGGGTGCAAGCTGAAATCATTTCCGGATTTAAAAAATAAGTAATGAATTCTGTTGGAGGCAGACTTGACTTGAGGAAATTGTTTTACTTTAAGGTTTTTTTCATGAGAAAGAGAGACATACAGAGAAAGAGGTCAAGACCCACAGTGAGATGAAGCCTTTTCCATTCTGGCAAAGATAATGCATCCTGAAGTGTTCATGTTAGAAAATGTTTTTAGCTCAGAATGACAAAGACATTTACTTTGTCTAGGAAATGTAAGTGCAGGGCCAAAATCTTTGCTGGCATAATTCCACTGACTCCCAATGGACTCTGGAGCTGCTCAAGCAGAGAATTTGCACTCCTTATTCTGCTTGGCTTTTTTCCTATACATAAGTTCTTTCATAGTCCATTCCCCTCTCACCGCTCCAAGTTTCTTAATTCAGCATTTGAATTACAATTTTCAGCCTCGTTGGGCTATGTCAGAAGTTTGCAGTCTTCTCATAGAGATCAGATGGAGACCTCTGGGGTGTAGTGGAGGAGGAGTTTCTTTACACAAGGAATTAGACCATGGTGGTAATAAAAGTGTGTTTCCAGTAAAATCCCATTTTGCAGACCAGTAATGGGCCTATTGCTGGTGATCCCTTTCACACAGGGACCTTTGAAATGCATGACTCAACACAGGGTGAAGTTTTCTTTAAAAGTAGGGTAAGAGCAGAGGCGCGTATAGTCATGTGGATGGGAAAATTCATCCCTTTACAGCTGTCCTTGCGTTTTGGAGGTTTTCCTACCCTGGAGCAGTTCCAGAGGCACAGCTCTGGCAGCAGCTACCCCAATGAGCCCTGGTCAGGGGCATTCCACCGTCAGTCCCTCTGGCTCCAGCTGAAGGGCATTAAGTGCAGTAGTGATGGCACATCCCCCTGCCTCCAGGAGGAGAGAGTGTGTAGGCAGGGCTTGAATGGCTACAGAGATGGGAATTGTAGGAAAATAAACCTTTGAGGTTTAGCTTAACTGGAAAAAAAAAAAAAGAGAAAGATAAGACACAGATACAAAAAGAAACGGGGTCTTTGGTTCTTTTTTAGAACCCTCCAGTAAGTCAATTTGTTTGCTAAGCACATGGCAAAGTCTGCTAGACCCAAGCACAGTGCACCTCAGGCTCCGGCCTGGTAAAACAAAATATGTGTTGTCCTTTACATATGTCATGACACAGAGCAGTCTGGAAGCAGAGTTGTGCTGGGAGCATGTCTTTGATTAGTTCCATTAACAAGGTGTTCCCTGAAAGCTTTTAACACCACATTGGGACAAAACTGGAACAAGTTCAGGCTTCAACATGAAATTTCCAGAATGGTGATCGCCTTTTGTAGGAATATAGACGCCCTTAACAGAGCTGATATATATTTTTTTATCTGGCTATGAAAGAAATCTGAGCTTAAAGATGCACTTTTTTAGAGAATTAACTCATTTAAACTGGGTTATTCAGCAGCTGTGGGTTTTTGTCACCTGCCTCTTTAATAGAAAAGCCTGCTTGGAAGATAATGAACTTTTCATTTACTGTATGCTTGGTTTTAGGTTGGCTTTTTTGGTTCTTTTGTTTTAAGCTCAGCAGTCAAAAGATTAAGATAAGATTGAGAACTCAAATCCAGTCTCTGGCCTCCTCCTTCACCAGGAAGTGTATTCTGACTAAATTGAGCCACCCCGTTCTATGTGCACTGTTCTGCCTTTATTAAGTTGCTTTGCAGCCCTGGCCTCATGGCTGTGCCACTGAAGTGTGTTTCCCCTGGAGTGACATAAACGCTTGAGGCTTGACTAAGGAAAAAAAGGCAGTGAAGGAGACTGTACATAAAGACATGGCAAAAATATTAATTATAGCAATATAGTTGTGGGGTGATGTTCAGGTGGGCAGCTCCATTGAAAATATGTGAATGAATTTGTGAAGCTGCAAGTAGCAAGAAGAAAGGATGATCTTCTGACTAAACCACCTACCTTGTAGACAGTAATTTTTACACTGTATAGTTTTGTTAAGAATTTTTTTTAATTAAAATACCCTTGTTTGTAAAGCTAACTTTTTAACAATTATAATGGAAATGCATTTCCATTTTTAAACAAGAATATTCTTTGTTTGGAAACTGGACTTGGGTTAAAACTCTCCAGTTTCTTAATTTATGTATTAAAAAAAAAAATCTGTCCATGTTAGGAGTTATTTCGCATATTCCTGTGCTTGAAAAGCATAGGTTACTAATCCTTTAAAAATGTAAATGGAGAAAATTATATTTTATGAAGGTTATTTTGTTGTATTTAGTATTGGAAAAGTTGGTTTTCAGAGCATTTCAAAATGTTGGAAGCACCACTGTCTTTTTTATTAGTATATATGGCCTTTAGCAAAAGTTTTTGTGATTGTTACATGATGGTATTTAAGATTAGGTTCACAGAGCTATTCAGGATAGGCAGAGAGCTAAAACAGTACTTAAGTCTCACACAGCTGTGTCCTCAGGGAGCAGAATTTTGGATTTGCAACTTGTAGCTTCATAAGGACTTAATGAAAGAGATTGCACAAAGACATCTGTGACACCAGAGTGTGTTCTGTAGCTAAACCTAAATTATATGTACTGTGTGAGATTATGAAGGCTGCAGAAAGTATCCCATATTCAGTGTACAGTTTTCACTTTTAATGAAAAAACGCTCTAATGTTGCTGGCAGTAAGGCCCCAAGCGTGACATCCTTTATGGTTTACATGATCCTGTCAAGGTCTTTTGTTAACATTAACCAGCTGTATGCTCCTGGATTTTTTTTTATTGGGTTTCTATATAAAACTTTAGGAAAAAAAAAAAAGAGAGTAAAATCACATGCCAGCTAATCAAGTTAAACAGGAAAGGCTCAAAGCTGAATGTTCTCCATGCTGAAGGAGCCGAAAACCGCCTCCTTCTTATTTGCACTTTCTGCTAGTTCCCCAGTTTTATTAATTCCTCAAAATTGTGTGGGTGGGGTGGAGCACTGCAGTTGGAGGATAACATGGACCACTGATTTTGCCCTTTAACCCTGCACAATGACCTTTGCATCAGCCAAACTTATTGCCATGACAACTCTTTGTACTGTTTCCATGCCACAGCTCTGTTGGTCACGTTGTCAATAGTAAAGGGGACAAGTTGGAGACGGTCAATTTTTACATTTTTTTTGTTGCAATTTTTTCTTCAATGGTTGTAAGTAGTTGTTTGGTTTTTTTATGATAAAAGGGTTCACTAGTTAGTACTCTTTAGAAATATCTGTGTGTTGCAATTCAGATGTATGTTGAATTTGTGAAAAGGGCTTCAGTGCCACTAGCATCATGAATAGAATAAGCCTTTGATACTTTCATTACATGAAACCGTAACAGTAAAACAAAAGGTGGCCTAAATAAATGGAGAGCAGTGTGAGCTAGTGACACTAAAGCCAGTCTTTGTATTACTGTATTTTTGACAGAATGATTTTGAAAACTGTGCTACAGGGACTGATGTGGCAAATGTATCTCTATATGCAGAAGGAAGTTTTTTAAGAAGTATGGCTTATTATGCATTTTTCATTGAGGGCATTGAAGTTGCATGGACTGATAGAAGTTGATGCAAAATGAGAAAGAAACAAAACCAGCAAAATGTTTACCAAAAAACTCAAACAAATGAGCAGTGCCTGTTCAATTTCACAGTCTCTGTTGAGTTCAGTTGTAAATATGTTTCAGATAACATTTTCTTCAAAAATAATCTCTACAACATTGTAGAATGTGAGAGGTTCCTCAATCCCAGGCATAGGCTTCTCAAGAGCTGCATTAGATTATGTCTTCATCAAGCTGTTAATTTGTGCTTATATCATATAGAACTTTTAGTAATCTGGGAAGAGGCACCCCATCTCAATGATATTTCTCTGAGAAAACTTTTGTAGGGCTGTGTGTTTCTTTAGATACATTTAGTACAACTGTAGGTGACAAGTAGTCAGTTATTGCTTGCTAGCTACATACCAGGGTTGATCCATTTTAAAACTTTTGGCATTTTTTCCCATACTGTAGGCCATAAATCCTGAAGGTTACATTTTAATTAAAAAGAAGGTGCGTGCAGAGTCTTTGTGTAATGAACCTTCACTAGTAGGATGCATTACAGTACAGCTACTTAATTTTGGAATTAGGGCCCTCTGGCATCAGACCTGATTTTAGCCTGAGTGTTAACAAAGGTTTTTATTGTGCCTGGTTGGAGGATAAAATGTTCTTTCTGGTACTTTTTTTTTTAGGTTACAAATGAACTCAACTGCCACAAGTTTTAAACTGGTGTAAATCAAGCTTGACTTAATGTGATTGTTACTGTTATATCCAGCCTATACTGCTAGCAGCTGCTCATACTGCAGTCAATTACTGGAAGCGGATATATTTCCTATGCAAAAACTGTTTAAACAATAAAAATGAGCTATGCTACAGACCTGGCCTTACGTTTTCTTTTCTGTCTCTTAGAGTCGTAATTGGTAATATGTCAGAAACAAGCCTTAAACCTTGAAGCCTCATAGCACAGCACAACTTATGGAGTTCTCTGTATACCTAGTCTAGATTTAACATATTTGTTTGCACACATTTGGGGTTAATTTACTTACACTGAAAAAGGAGGAGAACAAGAACAAAAGGAGATGCAATCAGGTAATCAGCTCAATTTAAATTTTACATTTAGTTTTCATCATGTTCAACCAACCCTAGTAATTATACAGGTGATCTTGATGCCAAACTGATTTTTGCTTTTATATATTCTTCACATATATTTGTAGCTCTGTAGTTAATTATGGTATAACAATATAGATTTGTGCTGGTAGTTTCCTATCCTGTTTGACAGAAAGACAAACTACATTCCTAGGCCCCTATCCTAGCTTGCTTCTTCTGAGAACCAAGGTCGAGACACACTCCCATAAACTACTATCAAGGAAGGGAGGCTTCTGAAGAGGGTAGAACGTAAAGGGGAAATTGCTTCAACACCTGTGTTTTAACTGGGGATTCTTGTCAATTATGTTAATTTTCTAAACTTATAAAACTGTATTTGCTCTGTGTCACATCTGCATCTTCGGCATATTTTTGGCATATACTTCAGTGTGTTGTGCACCTGAGGGGACCCTTCAAAAAAGGTAACTGCATTTTTATTACCTAATTGTATCTGGCTCATGATTTTAGAGACCAGAAAAAGGCACCAATATGAACTTCATTTCCTGTGATGTAAGATTAGGCATGATAGCATAAGGTCAGGACACCTCTGTTTTGTTTTAATGTTACTGATTTGTGACAGACAGACAATCTTTGATTTCTTAACCATCTTCATGATTACATTTTTGTTGAATAAAAATAGTAAGATCCAATCATCCTAAAATTCTTTCTGAAACCAGAATTCTTTATGTTGGGCCAAGATCTTTCAAGTCTACAAAAGAATTATTTTTCATAAGTGTGAATTAGAAGTAGATATGGAATGTTTAATTCAGTTCATGTTCTGGGAAATAGAAAGTTTTCTCAAACTGATATGATTCCATAAACCAGTACTAACAGTTAACAAGTAACATGAATATGGTCAAAATACTGGTAGGATAATAGTGTAAACATTTAAACTGGATTATATATAAACAATCAAATTTTGTCCCACAGTGAAGTGAAACAGCTCTCTATATACTTAGACAAAAGTATTCTTCATTTTCTAGACCATAAGCTTTATCCAGCTGCAGCCAGAAGTGTGAAAAAATATAATTTTTAAAAAATTTTTTCCTACTGATATTTTAGCACAATGACCATTTGTTTATTAAATGCACTAATTTTTCTGTGAGAGGCCCTTCTGTGTGTGTGTCTTTCCAAAACAAATTGTCAGGCATGTAAATCTAGGAAATTTAAATTATTTTTCCTGTTGGGGTTTCATTGAATGGTGCCATTTGGCCATGATTTGAAGATTATATTAAGGCCCTCAGGTTTCATGTTTAAAGCTCCAAACCAGAAAACTTTATTGAATAATCCAGAGAAAATTAAGTTCAGCCCTGCCACCCCTTTCTGATAAAAAAACTGCCCTACTTCTCCAGCCACTCTTCAGCCCACTGCAAAGCATGCCACTTACGAAGTGTGCAGCAATCCTTCATGACTGCAGGGCTGCAATGCCATGCTCAAGATACACAATACAGTGTCCTAGAACACCAGTATGAAAATAGCAGGAAGGAGAGAATGTAAGAGTATGACTTGCAACTTTGCTGTGATACAACAAGAGGAGCACTCCTAGTTAGGCCTTTCTCCTTTACCATTTACAAGACTTCTGAGAAGAAATGGATGCTTTTCCCAAGTCCAGTGTTATTTTTGTGTATTTTCCCATGGGCATAAAAATTATAATTGAAAAATAACATAAATCTTGACACCAGATCCAAACACACGCACGAGCAACAAAGTAGAAGTGTGCAGTGCCACCATAAAGACTTTTGTTGCTTAAATCGTTACATAAAGTTCTCAAATCTTTGCTTATCGGAGTTTCTTTTTGAGTCTTAATTTCTATGCTGGTTAAAGATCTAAATATGTACATAAAACTGTTGGTCAATCAGCTTATGATTTCTTGGGTAGTTGTTAAAGCAAACATTGTCTTAGCATCTTGCTTGTGAGCCTTGGCCCATGGGCATCCATTTTTTTGGGGATGCTCCTCTGACATTCTGTTTCTTTGGATCTGTTCTCCTGAGTGCTAGGGGACCCTTAGGAGTGTTTAACTGCCAGTATGTGAGTCACATCCTGGAATGTCTGTGAACACAAGGAGGTTATTGTATGCTCAGGACTGAACCAAATTTTGTCTGCAATTTGCTGGAGGCAAGAACATTGCTGCTATCCAGGTGATTCTCATGCACTTTGTCACATCTCCACTCAAGAGACCTGCAGCCTAAAGTCTTTCTGGTAAGGTAACTACAGGATTGTTTCACAGGATTGTTTCATAGATAGGTTATATAAGTCACCCCAAGAAATGGTAGAACTGTGACCACTAAGATTTGACGAGTCCAAACTAAAGAAAACTGTTGGCATTGTCAGACTTTGATGACATAAGCAGGACCTAACCAAGGTCTTCATTAGAAGAAGTATCCTACTTCTGCCTGGCAAATGCATCTTTAGAGTGTTCACCAATAGTTTATTTAAGGTCCTTGACATGAAAGCAGCCACTATTACCAATGCCATTTCCCACACATGTTGATGGACTGAGCTGCTGAAGGCTCTAAAGAGCTGAGCAAGCATTCAAGTGTGTCTTGAGCACAATTTACCTTTTATGACATTCACCATTATGTTGTACCCTGGTCCACTTTTCTTACTCTGTCATATCTGTATGTTCTCCAGACAAAGAATGAAATGATCAAAGTTACAGGACATTGAAAAATATGAAACTTAAGGAAAAAACAATATATGGGAGCTATAAGGAAACCACCAGTCTTTCATATCAACATGCTCTTACAGTGGGTGTCTACACATGCTGTTATGTGGTATCTAAGCAGAACTTGTTGCTTTAAAAAAAGAGGGATTGAGGAGTGGGTGGGATCTCTGGAAAAACTGACTGATGCCACTGGAAGTCAATAGAAATCCCTCAATTGATATTTAACAAATCTTATTAAAAACACCTATATTGCTGCCAGAGCACCTTAATTAAGGTGAACATATATTTTTTTTCCAGGCCTTAATATATGTATACCTTTTTCTTTTTTCCCCTGAGCTGGGTGCCTTAGGGTGAAAGCAGATGTTCAAAGCAGAAATAATAGTTTCTGCAGCTAAGATGGTGCTCACTACTAAAACAATTGTCTCCATTGGTTATATTTAGATGCACTACAGCTGCCAAAACCAGCACACATTAATGTGGGCAGACAGGCTGATACACTAAGGGCTGGGGCAGGGGTAAAAGATATATCTCTGCATAACTGACAAAACAAGCTCTGCTCACCATGAAGCTGGAACCATATCAATTGTAAGCAGCTGTCTATGCAATTTTCAGAAACTCTCTGATCAGATAATTGCTGGTGTTTCAAGAAACAAATGGTGCCCTCAGAGAGTGCTGAAATGCCATACAAAGCAACGAGGTCACCCAAGGGTAGGTGGGGACTTTAGTACTTAAACACTCTTCAGGCATTATTCTGTTTGTAAAACACCTCTCTCTCAAATTGAGATTGAAATATTTCCCTCAATGTAGTTTTCTGCTGAAGTACACTGAAAAAATGCCACAGCTACTTATAGTGGATTTGTTTCACAGAGCAGAAAACATTGATTTGTTATAACCATTAGAAGCTGAGTGTATTTTCTGTTTTATGGAGACAAGAATACAAAGATAAGGTTGGGTTTTTTTCTTGGAGGTGTTTTGGTGGTCTTCCTTTTGTTGCCTTTTTATTTTCTTCTTCTCTTCAGGTGGCTTGATCTCCTCCCACCCTCAGTCCCTCCTTTTGAAGGAATGTGATAGAAAAATTCACTTGCATCCAATACTAAAATATCTAATGTATATTAGTTTGTTTTAGTTTGAAGAGGAGAGGAGGACAAGCACTACAGTACTCATAAAATACACTTAGTGATAAAAAAAATTAACTAAATATAACATGATTTCAAAAGTTGGAATTATTAATATGTGGACTGTTGATGAGTTGAGGCACTTTGGAGAATGTGAAAGCGAGGTAAGCAGATCATGCAAAAAAATTGGTGCAATCATATGTTCACCTGCTAAGCTTCTTTACTTAGTGCCTACTGGGCATGCTAAGCTAGCATCACACTTACAAGTGTGATGTGCCTTTATAAGGCAAGTGTGATGTGCCAGGATCTTACAAGTGTGATGTGCCAGGATCTCTTTGCTTAGGAAGAGACAACAGCAAGAGCTATGGGGTCCTGGCAAGCCTGGACTGGTGTATCAATAGGAAGCTCCAGCAGTATTTGCTGTGGATAGCGTATTCCTTTAGGTTAGTGGCTTTCACTCTTTGGTCCTAAGAAATCTTGGGATCTTTGGAACACTTACATAAAGAGTGGAATAGGGAAGATAAATCAAGTGATACAATGATGGCCTTCTAGTAGCTAGTTTTCCTGTCACATCATAGTATAAGGCAAAATTATTATTTTTAATTATGTTTTCTAGCAGTTAACAGTAAAAGAGTGGATTGGGGATCATCTATCAAAATTAAGGAAGGACTGGTGTAGAAAGGGAGAGTTTTCAATTAATGGCACCTAGAAGCAGCTTCAAGGATGTCTTCACTCCAGGTTCCCTGGGACAGGCAATACCTCAGGGGCTCTGTGCTTTTTTTTCACAGTTCCCCAAGCTGTGAAAGCAGGGAGGTGTGAGCTGGGCTCAGGACCCTGCCCTAGGACCAAACTGTGCTCTGTGCTTGTTGATAAATGTAGCACTCTGGGAGGTCCATACCACTGGCCTTGTCCCATTGAACCAGAATATACAGGAGATTAAGGGCAGAAATACTA